TTTCTTCGTCTTATCTTCTCTTTCTTCTTCTTTCTTCTCTTCTTCTTTTTCTTTTTCTTTTTCTTCTTTCTTCTTTCTTTTCTTTTCTTCTTTCTTTCTTCTTTCTTTCTTTCTTCTCTTTCTTTCTTATTCGTTCTTTCTTTACTTCTTCTTTCCTCTCTCCCTCTCTAGCTGATGGAGGCGGCAGAGGGGAAGTTTAACCCTCACGTCCATGTGGCGTATGAGTGGAACCTGCGACTGGAGGAAATAGACGAGAGTGATGATGACCTTGATGACAAGGTACTCCATCATGACTGAATTAATAAAATCATGAATTATTGAATTCGGAAAGTATTCAGACCCCTTGACTTTTTCCCCCAAAAAGGGGAAGGGGACTAGGCAACAGGATATATGATAAACAGCTGCGTATATGATGATTGTATGTGAGTGGATGTGTGTAGAGTCAGTAGAAATCTATGTGCATATTATCCGTGTGAGCAAACGATGGAGTGAGTGTTTGTGTGTGTGTGTTGGAGTGTCAGTGTGTGTAAGTGTGTAGGGCCCTGTGAGTGTGCATAGAGACAGTGCAAAAATAAGAATTAAATACAAGGGACAACTCATGTAGCCTGTTTGTCTGTTAGCCCTTGGATCTGAAAGGACCTATTTACTCACAATAGGGAATATGATGCCATTTTGGTTGCAGTGCTGGATAGGTATGAGCGGTCTCTGACCTCTAACCTCTTACTCTTGACCCCTCAGCCCAGTCCTGTGAAAAAAGAGCGCTCTCCGCGGCCCCAGAGCTTCGGCCACTCCTCCAGTATGTCCACCCCTCAGGACAAGCTGACACTCCCGGGGGGCTACACTCCTCACAGGGACAAACAGCGCCTATCCTATGGGGCCTTCGCCAACCCAGTCTACAGCACTTCCACAGACACGCCTCCCTCACCAGGACCTGACGGGACTACACTACCCAGCAGGACAGCAGGGAAAGGTAATATTAATAATATTATGAATCTAATATTAATCTATTATATAAAGTTAATATATTAAAGACTGGGGTTTCACACCTGTGTCTCCTTCGCACCACAATACAGTGTTCATCTGCTGAGCTGTAGCCTAGGCATTAGGTTGAGGACCTTACACAAGTTTTCGGGTTTCAGGCAAGGTCAATTATCACGCGAGCATGGTTCACCAAACCACCTCCATTACAGTAAGATGGTCTGAGGGGCACTTCTCTATGGTTGACCTGACCCTGTGCTTCTCCCACCCTGCTGTGTGTGGGTGTGGGTGGGTAGTGTGTCAGCAAACAAACAGGTTTCCATTGTCTATTCAACTCTATTCAAAAAAGGAAAAAAAAAGAAGTAGAAGCACTTTGCACAGGAGTCTTTCCCATGGTCCTGGTTATGGCAGTAGCAACTGATTATCATGTATTTGATCAAATACATAAGGTCTCTCTGTCAACCGAAAAGGTTGCTGCTTTTTGGAGGGCGGCATTTGAAGGCTATACTGGTTTGTACAGCATGAAAGGTAACTAGAAAAGTGTCAGTGCGTGCGTGACTTGTAGCCTCAGGGGACAGAATAAGAGAATGGTGCAAATCAAGCACAGTTTGTAAACAAAGACAATGCATAAACTTCACTCTTGTAGGATTTATTGAATTCTAGTCGGCGTCATTTGAATGTACTCTGACCCTGCTGGTCATCTATGAACGTTTGAACATCTTGAAAAACGGTCTGGCCTAAATGGCCATCTACTCTTATAATCTGGCCACCCCTCAGAGCCTGGTTCCTCTCTAGGTTTCTTCCTAGGTTCCTGCCTTTCTAGGGAGTTTTTCCTAGCCACAGTGCTTCTATATCTGAATTGCTTGTAGTTGTTTTTTTTTTTTTTGCTGGGTTTCTGTATAATCACTTTGTGACATCTGCTGATGTAAAAAGGGGTTTATAAATACATTTGATTTATTGATGTACAGGGTTTCACAATTATGCAGTTCATGCATGGAATAATCCAAAGTGTTTTTGAATAGTTTTGATAATGTCAAAATAGATTGATAGTGCCTTCCGCTTTGTGTCAGAGGAATCAACTTGCTTGAACATCTTGTTCAATCTTTGCATCTTTACAGTACCTTTTTTTGGAATTAAATATGGCTTCGATCATAGATAACAGCTCTGTAGTGTGCCTCCTTGTTTAAACCAATCACAGCATGCCTCTCATTCCCTGGCTTTTCTAGCACCCTCTACTGGCCCGCCTACCCCCCTTCTTCTGGGCTCCCAGACTGGAGGCAGCGGGGGCAGCTCCACCCTCAAGAAGAGACCCCCACCCCCTCCCCCCGGGCACAAGCGTACCCTCTCAGACCCCCCCAGCCCAGTCCTGCAAGGCCCCCAGAGCAAAGGTGGGACCGGTTGGGGTGAGTGGGACACGGGTTGAAAAGTTTTAAACAACACTGTGCCAATTTGTAAGTCGCTCTGGATAAGAGTGTCTGCTAAACGACTTAAATGTAAAAAATTTAAATGCATGTATGCAGTGACATATTGTGAACCTTGCATATAGAAGTAAATAGTGCTGACAGGATTCTCCATTCTACATTACATACAATCAAATCTGGTTTACATGATCAATTTCTTTGCATCCTCCTGAACAGGCCCCAGCACACAAAAGAGAAAAGAGTATATTGTTTTCTTCCTTGGATATTCGGGTTTAAAATCTGAGCTAAAGTTGAAGCTGGGTCAGACATATATTTTCTTTTTTGTATTCCTATATTTAGTATTACTCAAATCGCCAATGAATGGTCACTAAAAGGGAAAGCTATAGTTTACTGGATCAGATTGGGCTACACTTGTCCCCAGTTGGGAATGGAATTGAACATTATGATGTTATTGAAACAACCTATTCATTCAATTTGCACGCATTTTGCACTCTACCAAATGTGCTCGATAGCTTACCCCAGGGCCACGTTCAGTAGCGAAACATTGTCAAACGTTGCAGTTAGAAATGCCATGAATGGAGCCGACGAGATTCCTTATTCTACGTGTCAGAGGCATGTTTGTTCTACATAACATATTTATATCGGAACATCCCAAAACATTGCGTCCTGCTGAACACTCCGAATGGCTGTTGACCCCCTCTGCTGATTTGATCAAAGCTGAAATAGAGGCAAACTGAAATAGATCTGACTTTGACGCTTCTGTGGTTCCTCTTTGTTTCTCATTTGGTTCACTTCCTCTGCGAGCAGAAAAAACGAACAAAAGGCCAAGTGCTGAATGCGTTCCCTCTGTCACATATTGCTGATACATATTATGTATTTTTCCTTACGATCAACCAAGTTTAATAGTTTACATTTTAGACATTTTGGGGTGGTTTGCTAGACACCGATTACACATAGTCATGGATTAAAAAGTGCTTTCAATGAAGATTCTCCATTGAGTATGCTTTTTAGTCCAGTACTAGGGTTAATCTGTGTCCAGGAAACCACCCCTTTATGTGTAACACCCATGGAAGTTTTAAATTGTAATTCATATGACTCATTTTGACATAAATTCTCCATTGGAATTCAAGCATTTAAATTCAGGTAAAACTTTCTTGAAGCTCCTTGTTATAAAGTATTATATAGGCTAATAAACATTAATCAGCTAATAGATACAGTCATAGAGCATTGTGAAACTGTATGGTAAAAAGGCATGGCTGGCATGTATCATTAACATATCAGCTAAAGGGCCTCTCATGTCTTATTATTATACAGTTCCATAATGCTCTATGACTGGTTTGAAAGCAATATAACAAGGTCCTTCAACTAAAGTGTTACATTATCTTAATCTATGGTTCACTCCAAATTCAGCGTTTGTCAGATGTTTTCAGACCTCAAAAGTAGTCTAATGAATTGGGTAGAATTTATTTGGGTAAAAAATTATACATTGAAAAGGAAAAGGTGCAACCCTCACTCACCAGTAAAAACATGTTATTTTATTTAAGCATCTATTAAAAGCTTGACGTTTGGGCCTTCATCAATGGCCTTCATCTACGTTTTTAATAGTGTGCGATCATTGTGCCTTTTCTTTTTCAAAGATGATAATCTGGGTTGCACCTTGACTCACGTTGGTTAAGCGCCCTCCACTTCTTTCCATAACAAATAATACAACAAGCAGGACATTGGATCCCCAGAGGATAGCACTTAAAAGCATGAATTAAAATACTTGTTTCCAAAGTGGTCCTTGATGGTAAAACTGAATGAAATCAGGAAATTGATATGGTGTCAGGAAATGATATGGTGTTTATCTTTTCCATTCTGATACATGGCTATGGACTTATCTCATCTATTGAGGTCTGAAAATATCTGTCAACCTTTGATTTTGGAGTGAACTGTCCCTTTAAAGAGGCAGTCTGGATTGAAACAACAACAAAGCGGTCACCCCCCCCCCCATACACACACTTTAAAAAGCTGAGGGATGGGGCTGGAGAAATGTAAGCACTCAAATAAATAAACAGAGCTATAGATGCATGGACTTGACATCGAAACTAAGCTCATGAGGCAATTCTAAGTTATATTCTTCAAGTATTAATTGCTGTACACTGTATATAATTAATTTAAAGATCCAAAAATGTATGTTCCAAAATCCCAGCTTGCCCCTGTAAGGTACATGTGGCCATACATCTTCAATCTTTTTTCCTACACAGGAAGCGAGTCCACTCCACCGCCTACAAACAGGACCTCACCTGGAAACAAGTTTGAGCAGCAGCAGAGGTACAGCACCATAACCGCTGCTTCAACTCACTCATTCAGCCTGTCCAGGCTCCGCGCGATAGTGCCAATCACATATTTAGCAGATGCATTTATCAACAGTGTTCACAATTAAAAGGGTATTTAATTTTGTGGATGACTTACAGTATTCCTATTTTGGATTATGAGAGACAACAACCAAAAATATGGCTTAGAACTTACAAAGTGCATGCAAACATTCCGAAATTGACACCTCAACCTTCAAAGGCTAAAATCACATTGTATGATGGGTAATCTTATCTCTCTTTCAGTACTACCATTAGTAATACCAAGTCAACACTTGGTCCAAGGGTTCTACCCAAACTACCCCAAAAAGGTATTATTCTTTCTCTCTTATTTAACAGAAAATGTCTAACAATGCAAGAAATCACATAGTATAGATTACGGGCCAGTTTCCCAGACACAGATTAAGCCTAATGCTGTTTTAAAAAGTTGTTTCAATGGAGAATCCCCATTGAGAAAGCTTTTTAGTCCTGGACAAGGCTTAATTTGTGTCTGGGAAACCACCACTATATGTATACAATTTAGTAAGGATACTGTTAACCCAAAATATACCAAACTAAGTTGATGCAAGTTGACACTTTTTAATGCCTCACCCTGTCTTGTTGAAGTGGCACTACGGAAGATCGACACTATGCACCTCCCTTCAGTGGACAAGCTCTGCCAACCTCCGGAGGTTCTACAGAGGTCAACCTGCGCCCAACTAGAGTCTTACCAAAAATCCCCCCAGCCCCTGCAGACCCCCGGAGACACCCCTCAGAGGGCCCCGTTGGCAGAAAAACCGCAGCTAAGCGAACTGCCTCCCAAACCCCAGATGTCAGATCTGCCCCCCAAGCCCCAGCTCTCTGACCTCCCCCCAAAACCACAGCTGTCGGACCTCCCGCCCAAACCGCAGCTCAAGGACCTCCCGCCCAAGCCCCAACTGAGCGACATCCCTCCGAAGCCCCCTGTCAGTGAGCGGCTCCATCCGGGCGAGGCCGTGCAGACTGCGATGGATGGGCGGTCTTGCAGTCAACAGGGGGAGCTGTCACCCAGACAGGCCAGTGAGGACACCAATGGATCCCCGCCGGGTGCAGTGGAAATGCCTGTGCCGCTGCCTCGGAAGATCAACACTGTGAGTGCTGACTAAAGATAGTGCTTTTTGTTGTAGTACCTAGGGCTGGATTCAATCCATATCACAGAAGTATTGCGGAAGATCCGCGTTAAACAATGAAAGTTAATTTCTGAATGAGCCAACATATGCAACGTTTACCATGAATGCAGTCTCTGCGAACGCGGAAAACATTGCCTTTAAATTGTTTAATAACTCACATAAAGTACCATTTTATCAAGTCATACACCATGTGAAAATTTATCGGTGTACTCTGACGGTAATGTAAACATACTAAGCTTTTTGCATTTTCAACCAGGGGAAGAGTAAAACTAGACGGGTGAAGACCATCTACGACTGCCAGGCGGATAACGATGATGAGCTGACCTTTGCAGAGGGAGAGGTTATCATCGTCACAGGAGAGGAGGACCCGGACTGGTGGGTGAGTATTTGACCTGCATCAGGCTGCAGCCACACTCATACAGTGCCTTGCAAAAGTATTCATCCCCCTTGGCGTTTTTCCTACTTTGTTGCATTACAACCTGTAATTTAAATGGATTTTAATTTGGATTTCATGTAATGGACATACACAAAATAGTCCAAATTGGTGAAGTGAAATGAAAAAAATAACTTGTTTCAAGAAATTCTAAAAAATAAATAATGGAAAAGTGGTGCAAGCATATGTATTCACCCCCTTTGCTATGAAGCCCCTAAATAAGATCTGGTGCAACCAATTACCTTCAGAAGTCACATAATTAGTTAAATAAAGTCCACCTAAGTGTCACATGATGTCACATGATCTAAGTATATAGACACCTGTTCTGTAAGGCACCAGAGTCTGCAACACCACTAAGCAAGGGGCACCACCAAGCAAGCGGCACCATGAAGACCAAGGAGCTCTCCAAACAGATCAGGGACAAAGTTGTGGAGAAGTACAGATCAGGGTTGGGTTGTAAGAAAATATCTGAAACTTTGAATGTCCCACGGAGCACCATTAAATCCATTATTAAAAAATTGAAAGAAAATGGCACCACAACAAACCTGCCAAGAGAGGGCCGCCCACCAAAACTCCCGGACCAGGCAAGGAGGGCATTAATCAGAGAGGCAACAAAGAGACCAAAGCTCCACAGCGGAGATTGGAGTATCTATCCATAGGCCCACATTAAGCCGTACACTCCACAGACCTGGGCTTTACGGAAGAGTGCCCAGAAAAAAGCCATTGCTTAAAGAAATAAATAAGCAAACACGTTTGGTGTTCGCCAAAAGCCATGTGGGAGACTCCCCAAACATATGGAAGAAGGTTCTCTGGTCAGATGAGACTAAAATTGAGCTTTTTGGCCATCAAGGAAAACGGTATGTCTGGCGCAAACCCAACACCTCTCATCATCCCGAGAACACCATCCCCACAGTGAAGCATGGTGGTGGCAGCATCATGCAGTGGGGCTGTTTTTCATCGGCAGGGACTGGGAAACTGGTCAGAATTAAAGGAATGATGGATGGCGCTAAATACAGGGAAATTCTTGAGGGAAACCTGTTTCAATCTTCCAGAGATTTGAGACTGGGACGGAGGTTCACCTTCCAGCAGGACAATGACCCTAAGCATACTGCTAAAGCAACACTTGAGTAAGGAATCCCTATTAAAAGTTTTATTCAAAGCGTTTCTATCTGCAACATTCAGTACGTTGCACACTCCTGAACGTAACCCTGGTTTTGTCATTCAGAATGTATGACAAATCCATTATCTTTCTTCGCTGATCTGAGAGGACTAGGCTGACTGACAACTGTCTGTAAATCACTCTGGATGAAAGCGTCTGCTAAATGACCAAAATGTAAACAATTATACTAGAAAGGTGACGGCGATACTGTATGGCAGAAGTTGTCAGGTAGACTAGGTGAAGCTTCTGCCATGCATTTTTCTCCTTTCCAATCCTTTCAGATCAGGGATCATTAGTAAAGAGAAAATACCAAGTACACCAAGTTATTGAAGTATAAGAGTATACTTATTTGCATGTCACTCATTTGAGTCTCATTGTGAAGCTGTCACAGTAAAATATGTATTCATCATTATGTATCTATTCTTTTATTTCTTTCAGATCGGGCACATAGAGGGACATCCCGAGAGGAAAGGGGTCTTCCCCATGTCCTTTGTACACATTCTGTCTGACTGACAGCCGGAGAGACAGGTGTGAGGCCCTGCCCTCCCCTGGCCTCACATCAGACTGTAGGTGGAGGCTATGTTAATAGCTGCTGTTACAACAGGAAGCGAAACAAAATGCGAACGAAGAATCCAACCCAGCCTCATTGCATTGAAGACTTGTTGTATATAAACTGTGTTATCCTGCCTACCAGTATTACCGTAGCAGCAACCCAGCATGAAACTGGGTTTGCAGTAGCTATCCTCGGAATCAAGCACTTCAAACATTTCTCAATGTATGCTGTAACTGTATGTATGTGTATAGATAAACAAATCTATGTATGTCCATGTAAGTGTATCTTTGTACATACATATGCACACCTAAGAGTGTATATTTCTGTACTTATGTACATATACAAGTGTGCATATGTACATTGACCCTGCTTGCTTAGAGATGTAGGGCTATCTTCTTCTTGTTCCAATGGTATACCATTTTAGCTGGACTGTTTTATGTCATTATCATCTCTTGAACTCCTGGAAGTAGTTAATGATCATGACTCATGAGAGGTCAATTTGATAAGGAGTTTGTTACTTAGATAATATACAGTATATTAACCCTTAAGGCCCATATCCTCTCCCTCTACAGGCCTGTTGTTTTGGCAATGAAAGTGAGTTTCGAGAAAGACTGAAAGGTTGGAGGAAGTATTTATTCATGACATAAATATAGAATTTAATGTGGGTGTCGCTTGTGTGTGTTTTCGCACGTGGCAAGTGTTTGTACATTCACTCTGCAAAAACAGTGCACAGTTACAGTCACTCACCCTTCTAGATAACTTGAAGAAAGCCTGTGTTAAAGACTAACCATTTTCATACTTTAGTTTTTAATTTAGGCCAGAACGTTAAAGTCTTTGCCGTGTTGTCTTACCGTATTACTTAACGGCCTTGTTGTAAACAGAAAGGATGATTTGGAGTGGATTTCTTAAAACAGGCTTTCTTCTTTTTACTTTGTCATACAGGCAAGTGATGTGGAGTGAATGCAATGTTGTTGATCCCTTTGTATTTTCAAGTATTGTGGTTACTGTATCATGTTATGGGTATGCTTGTCACTGGCAGGGACTGGGGAGTTTGTCAGGATGAAAGGAAATATGAAAGGAGCAATTTTTCTGCGGGACAAATGTTAATCCCAAAGACACACTAGAATGGCTTTCCAAGAGGTGGTGAGTGTTCCTGAATGGTCCAGTGTCAGTCCTGACTTAAATCTGCTTTAAGAAATCAGAGACAATGTTTGAATATTGCTGTCCATCAATGATTCCCAACCAAATAAATGAAGCTTTAGGCCCGGTGCACATCAGAGATCACAGGCCAAAGCATGAGGTCATGTCGTTGAGCTTCAGGATTATTAGTGCATTTTTTTACTCTTATTCAATTTTACCGTGGTTTGTCATGTAGGAATTTGCTGTGACTGACGGAGGTGTGAAAACAACTCTGACTGCCACGCTAACTTGCCATTTTTAGGGACAAGGTTTCGCCTTAGTTTAAAATAAAGCTGTTGTCGTATTAACAGGAAATAAATGATTAACTATTAATTAATGCTTCTTGTATTATATTTGATGTTGATGGTCAGTGAAATTTTTTAGGACTATAGTTAGTAATTGTTAAAGGGAGACACCTTTTATTGAGTATTGAGAGTAAATTGATGTTTGTTTCTGTTTTGGGTAGGAGAAACTGGGCAATTGACAGCTACACCACTATCATCAGTCTTTTTCCTTGTGTCTGGCATTTACTGTTTACAGAAGCTCATTCAGCTAGGTTATTCCTTGTGGGAGAAACATTGTTAGCACGTCTTGTGTTATTATTGTTCCTAATATGTGTGGTGAGAATTGAAGCTTTCATCACAGCCCCTTTAGACTAGGCTTTTTGTTACAATTCTCAACAAAGTTTGTGGGATTTCAGCACAGGCAAAACCAGTGGGGCCCCACTGATGGAGGACAAGATGAAAAGAAGAGTGATTAAGCCATGGCAAGCAATTGGCTGATTCACAAATCCTCTAGATTTTCACATTTACTTGAATATTTATTTAATATACAACTATACCAGAAGCTGGACAATAATAAATTAAACATATTCTAATGCATCAAATTCGTGTCAAATTCCACGCCTTCTGTGTTATTCCCCACTCAAGTTGGATGCATATTGGACGGGCACTGCCAAACAGTGCTTTTTAGAAGGCTAGTTTGACATTTGTTTTATTGCTAAATAACTGGATGAAAATGTATATCCCTGTTCCGCATGTGTGTTGGCTTCATTGTTTGATATTGTGTGTTGAGGACAGAACCATGACTCCATTACCTATCGAATAATAAATATTTTATGTTGAATTATTGTGAATGCTTGTTATTTTTAAAAGTGTAATTGTCTTTAATGCGGTTGTTTGTAGGCCCTAGTAATAATGTATTATTTAGGAATGGAACTGTGATACCGCCTATACAACTGCATTTGTCATTACCTACTGCATGAATGGGAAAAGGTGTTTTTACTATGTAAGTCAGGGGCGTAGGAGCCCGGGGGGGGGCCCCCCCCCCAATAAAACAAAACAAAAAAACACGAGACTTTTATTTTGAAAAAACTGTTGCCAGATTAGTTGAGGAACTTTTATTTTGAAAAGGCCTCCTCTGCTGAAACGTGAGTCACTTCCCCCGCCCACACTGACTGCTTCATTTGTGGGCTTCATTCTAGCTCTCTGTTATTACAAGCAGTGGCAATGTGTGAGTGAGAGAAAAAGCACTGTGCAGCACCACAATCATTACTCACCACACTGGGTAAAGTAATTATTGTTGGCAACAACAAAGTACGTTTAAATAAAAAGTGTATGAATGTGAATAAACTTTGATATGTTAGAATGAATGTGAGCAACTACAGTTGAAGTCGGAAGTTTACATACACTTAGGTTGGAGTCAACCACTCCACAAATGTCTTGTTAACAAACTATAGTTTTGGCAAGTCGGTTAGGACATCTATTTTGAGCATGACACAAGTAATCTTTCCAACAATTATTTACAGACAGATTATTTCACTTATAATTCACTGTATCACAATTCCAGTGGGTCAGAAGTTTACATACACTAAGTTAACTGTGCCTTTAAACAGCTTGGAAAATTCCAGAAAATGATGTCATGGCTTTAGAAGCTTCTGATAGGCTAATTGACATCATTTGAGTCAATTGGAGGTGTACCTGTGGATGTATTTCAAGGCCTACCTTCAAACTCAGTGCCTCT